CGACGGGCATCGCCAACGCAGAACGTGCCGCTCGTGCTGGGGACGCACCCGCGTCGTCCACTGGCCGCTCCTTGGCCGAAGTGGAGGCTGAGGACCCGCGCGCCTTGGCAAGGCCCGCCGACGACCCTGCGTCCAGCTTCAGCCGTCGTGAGGGGCGCGCGGTCCGCGCCCGCCTGGGCCCGCGGGATGAAGCGGTCGAGGACCAGCCCAACCGCGGTGGTCACGCGACGCACTCCGCCTCGCGCACGGGCGCCGCGCGTACCAGGCGCGCCGCCAAGCAGCGGCGGGCTTCGATGGCGGCGCTCCCCGCCCCTGAGGGGGGGGCCGCCACGGCGCCTGGCCGCAGGGCGCGTCGCACTGCCAATGCGCGCCGCTGGGCAGGCGCGGCACGCCCCAGCTCCGCCGCGGGAGTGGGCTCCCCACCGCGGAGCCGCAGCCCTGCCCGCAGCCGCACGCGGTCTCCAAACCCGTACGGGACTGACCACACCTCTCCCTCGGGGGGCTGCTCGTCGCCTCCCGTCGACGGCCCGATCTCGCCCGAGGAGCCGTCGGAGCCGCCGGCGGGGGAGGCATCGGAGGGCCCGCACACTCCTGACGGGTCCCCGCCCGCGAGCGTTCGCAGCCGCTCGAGAGCGGAGCCCGCGTGCGACGAGGACTCTCCGACGGAGCTCGAGGACGTCGTGCTGAGTGCCCTCGCAGACTCCTCGGTGGACCTCGAGCGCGTCGTGGCGGGCCTGAACCCCGAGGTCCTCCTCCGCCTGCAGGCGGCCTTCCCTCGCCGCTCGGGGGCCTCTCCGCCCGCCGCTCACGCCTCGGCTCGCAGCCGCTCTCGGGGCCGCGGCACGCGTGCAGGCTCCGAGACGCCGCGGCCCGTGCCCCCGCCGCCGCCGCCGCCCCCTCACCACTCTGGTGGGCGTGCGGCGTCGCGATCCCGCGCGTCGGCCGCAGGCCAGGGGCTTAGTCGGGCCGTCGCGCGCGACTCCTCTCGCGCGCCTTCGCGTCAGGCGACGTCGCCTGGGCGTCGCGAGGTGCGCTCCCCTCGAGTCGCTCCGAAGCGGCGCCCGAGCCCCGCTGCTGCGCAGCGGCCAGCCACGTCCCGCCATGGTGCGAGCTCGGGCGACGCCCACGCAGGCAGCTCCCGCGCGGACTCCGCTGCTCAGGCCCCTCCGTCTTCGGTAGGCACGCGCTCCTCCAGCGATGCTGTTGCGGCCCCGCAGGGCGGAGGGCGTGCCGCCGAGGAAAGGGGGTCTTCGAGCGGCCCCGCGCCTGGCCGAGCTTCAGAGCACGAGCTGCATCTCAGCGGCTCCCACAGCGGTGACGCTGGGAGCGCCGCGGCTGCAGCCTTCGCAGCGCGGCGCACGGCCTCTGCGGCCGTTGAGCAGCCCTTGCCTCCAGGGGCCGCCACCGCCCTAGCGTGGCGTCTCAACATCGGCGGTGAGAAGGTCACAGTGGTGAGGTGGGGACCCGCCTGGCAAGCTGCCTTCCAGAGCGCGGCGTCGTGGCTGAGGTCTTTCGCACCCGCAGGGGCCGCCGAGCCCGAGGGCAGAGATGACCTGCACTGCCTCCTGCAGGCCTTGCACGCCTATAAGCGCCTGTTTCAGACAGGCGGCGCCGAGCCGATCGACGAAGCCTCGTGGTTGCATCCTTACGTGGCCGTCGTCGAGCCCGAGGCTATCCCCGCGGACGCTGACCTCCAAGCCATGGGGGCGGGCGCCATCCGTGGCATCGGGCTCGGCTCAAAGATCGAGCACAGGCGGCGAGCGGGCAAGTTGGCCTGCCTTTTCGACCTTCTGTACCACGTGCAGGACGGTCGCGGCGCCATCCCAGCAGCGCTGTGGGGATCGCATTCCCCTCCGTCCGAGATCCTCGACGCCTTCGCGGAGGTGGTGCCCGTTCCACATCATTCGGGCCTCACGTCCTCGGCAGCTCGTTCCGAGCTCGCCGAATCGGCCGCAGCTGCGCGTGCCGAGCCGCGCCCGCCCTTTGACTGGGCGACCCTCGAGGGAGGGGGCGCTCTGCCCGCCGAGATCGAAGCAGGGGCTCGCCGTGCTTACCGTAACATGGGCGGATCCTTCAGCTCGGCGCGGGCGATGCTGGCGGAGGCGTCGGGGTTCGAGACCGACGGGCGGGACACCCTCGTTCCGCCCTTCTACGCGTCCAGGCGCAGGAGGGCCGCCACGCTGATCAGCTCTCCCAGCCCTGGCCGCCCTGCGCTCATCCTGTGGTGCGTCTGCGGCCTCTGCATCTCTCTGGGAGCCGCGGCGCCGACCGCAGGCCAAGGGCTTAGTCGGGCTGCGCCTTCCGCGCCCGCTCGCCCTCCGCGCACTCCCTTCGTGCGCGATTCTCACCTCACCTCCGCGTATCTCGATCGTCGCTCGAGATCGATTGATGCGTTCGAGCTGTGGTTAGCAGAACACACTGGCGTGCCACCCGCCACTCTTTACCGTAGCGGGATACTTCTCGCCCGTTTCCTCGCGACCTTCGGCGTGTGGCTTCATGATGCAGGTTTCCCTCATTATATTCTGGTCCATGCCATCTTGGGAATCCAGAGCGCTCATCCGCATTGGAAGGCCTTTCTAACAGAAGCTTGGGACGTAGCGAAACAATGGAAGCTCGCGGAGCCGCCAAAGCTCCGCCCCCCCTTACCACGCGCTCTGCTGCGCGCTATGGTCGGTCTCTGTCTCGCCTGGGACTGGCCTGTGATGGCGGCCTTGCTGCTCATGGGCTTCACGATGTTCCTCAGGCCTGGCGAACTGCTGGCGTCACGCCGCTGTGACCTGTCGCTTCCATGCGACCGCCTCGAAGTTGAAGGGGATGCTTTTCTCTCGATTCTTGTTCCAAAGACCAGGAGAACGTACCCGACGCAGCATGCTCGCTGCTCCGATCGGGGCACGGTGAAGATTCTGAATCAAGTGTTTGGGAGGTTGGCTTCCACCGATCCTCTCGCCCCTTTCGGTGCGAGCGGCTTCCGTACTCGGTGGAATCATTTGCTTTCGGCCCTGGGCGTCCCTCTTGCCAAAGCAGGTCAGGGGCTCAACCTGACGCCCGCATGTCTGCGGGGCTCTGGCGCAACAGACTTCTATATCGCTACGGAAGACGTCCCTCGCGTCTTCTGGCGCGGGCGTTGGCGTCAAGCTTCCAGTGCCGAGCGCTACCTGCAAGCCGCCGCCGCTTCCACAGTTCTTGCTGCGCTGCCCGAGCCCGCACGGGCGCGGATCTTGTTCTTCGCCACCGCCAGCGACCGCCTTGTCGCTTCGTTCCTCCAAGTCGGCCCCGCCGCTTGGCCTGCCCTACTTGCGGCCGCCCGCCAAAACCTTGTCACTTCGCAAGGTCCTTGAGCACGGGTATGGCTGCCTCGCCGACGTCGGCGAGCAGGCGGACTCCACCGCCTGACGCGCGGCGCCCCGGCTTGAGCGCGCGGGACGGGCCTGCCCATTTTGGGCCGCCCCGCGCGCGCACGCCGCGGCCGCGCTCGGAGACAGCTCGCTAGCGCGCGAGCGGGAGAATGCCTCTTCTATTCTCTGTGAGCAAGCTCCTGCTGTCTCCGCAGCTTCTCTGCCCCCCTCCCTCCTCTCCCAATCTAAGGCTGACGGGCGCTGCCTCGCCGACGTCGGCGAGCAGGCGGACTCCACCGCCTGACGCGCGGCGCCCCGGCTTGAGCGCGCGGGACGGGCCTGCCCATTTTGGGCCGCCCCGCGCGCGCACGCCGCGGCCGCGCTCGGAGACAGCTCGCTAGCGCGCGAGCGGGAGAATAATAATGACATGAAAATTCCATACAGGATGCCGATCACTTTGGAAACTCACGATACGTTGTGCACGGAGTCGTGTTACGAAACATGTGGCCTGGACGATGTGGTGCGAGCGGTGGAGGCGAGCCTATCGGCGCAAGGACGCCCTCTTGGGGCGTTTTTTGAGCCATCTTAGGAGCCTGTCAGGGCGTCGTGGGGGCTTCTTGGGGGCTTTCGGAGGCCCTCTTGGAGGCTCTTGGGGCCTCCTGGGGGCCTCGTGGGCTGGAAGGCTAGATTTTTTCCGCTTTTCGTCCCTCTTTTGGGTCCTCTTGGGGCCGTCTTGGGGGCCTGTTGGGCCGTCTTGGGCGGCTCTTGGGCCGCCTTGGGGCCCTCTTGGGCCGTCTTGGGACTGTCTGGGGGCCTCCTGGGCCGTCTTCGAGCGGTCTTGGGGGCCTCTTGGGCCGTCTTGGAGCGTCGGAAAGCCGAAAAAAGCGACAACCCCAAAAACATTGAAAAAACCAATGGGAATCAACGATTTTTGCCTCTGGGGGCCATCGTGGGAGGCCTCTTGGAGGCCTCTTCAGACGTCGTGGAAGGCTCTTGGGCCGTCTTGGGGCCATCTTGGGCGTGTTCGGGCGATCCTTCGGGGTCTCGGGACTTTCGTAGACCGTCCTCAGAGACTTTTGCGGCCGCGGCCACCCTTCCAGCGCATCCTCGAGATTAGAGCCTTCTGTAAAAGCAGCGCCCCGCATCCGCCGGAAACTCGCACCCCCCCCCCCCATCCTCCCTTCCCCGGCAGAGCCACTCCGGCAACCCCCCCAGAGGCTGAGGCTCAGCCTCGAGGCTGTAGCTGAGACTCCTTGAAACTCACACGCCGGATCGGCGGATTTGTGTGTCCCAGGCCCCTTCACTTTCGTCCTTCCCCTTCGGCCCATCCTTGGCCGCTTTCGCTGGCCGCGGCCCCGCCCGCACAGGGTCGAGGTGGCCTTCCAAGGCCCCTCCATCCTTGTCGTGCGTCCTCCTCGTACGGGTTGACTGTACGAGGCCCATCCTTGGCCGCTTTCGCTGGCCGCGCCCAGCTCTCGAAGCGGCCTTCCAAGTCCATTGCATCCTCAGTGTGCGTCCTTTCTCTACGGGTGGACCGAAGACAAACGAAGGCAAAGCCAGATTGAAGACAGAACGAAGGAAAACGAACACAAAACGAAAACGAACAACATTGTTCAGCTCGAACCCTGAAGCGTAAGTGCTTCGGTCGCGCGCTAGTGGCTGCAGGCGAGACGGTGGAGTTCGACCTCGTCTTCGACGAGGGGAGGCCCCAGGCGCAGCGGGTGAAGGCTCGCGGCTTGCCTTGTTCGTGCCAGCGGGCCACCAGTCGTGGGCATTCGGTTGCTCCGCCTGCTGGGGATACGGTGGGGGCGTTAGTTAAGGAATGTGCCCAGGAGGCTTGACACCCTGGAGGATTCCTTATTTGATGATGGCGGCGGTGATCTCCACGGCCAATCCTTAATTGGAATTGCACCGGCTTCCAGACCCTGGATTCCTTATCTAAGGGTTCCTTGTCCAATGCCCCCCACTGTAGTGTCATCCAAGGGCGCCCTGGAGGGCGGAAAGTTGTTCGCTCTTCGCGGTTCGGCTCCGATTCCTTGTCCTCCTCCTCCTCCTCCTCCCTCGCGGGGGGCGGCGCGAGAGCGCGAAGTGAGATTCGCGCTTCGCTCCTCGCGCAGCGCGAATCGCAAAGTTTGTGGCGCCCCTGGTGAGTCATATGACTGATATCGTCGGCGTGAGGGCTGCCAGATGGCAGCAACGTTCTCTCCCACATCGCACTGCATCGGTTTCTCCATAAGCATTCGTATTTGCTAACTACTCTGGGATTCTTAATAAGCGTGGGGGGGGGCACCCCACCGACGGGGGTTCAACCCCGCCTCGTCGTCGCGCCGCGACGGGGGTCGGAGCGCCTTCGGCGCGCGGTGGCTGCCCACGACGGGGTTCGATGTGGGGCGGTCGGCGGAGGTGATGCCCCCCACGACGCTTATTAAGAAACTCGGAGTACTGTGATGCCCTTCTTGTTGACCATTCGTCCACATTGCGATGGTGGGTGCCTTTTTCGTGCGTTCTGGCGCCATCCTCGGACACCCTCGGTATACGCAGTGCTACGTTTGAGTGGTTCCCGCTTGCGCGCACGCTATCGCCGAAGTGTTAATCTTCTTATCTGCTGGTGCCAGTATACAGGCAACGATCTTTCCAAATACATGTCCCCACGTGCATTCACCTTCAGCCTTTCATTTCAATCTGTGCACTGCTACATACCAGCAATATTCAATGACAGATTCGATTTGTGATGCGGAGCATTTTGAGAGGGCCTTAGACCAATTGGCTGGATATGAGAGCGCCATCTCAGTGCACAAATGTTGATGCATGCTGTAGTTTACGCGATTGCTCTCCCCAAGGTGGTGTCTGGGCCTGCCGTCAACGATGGCGTCCCTTTCCCGACGATGTCAGGCAAGGACGGTGCCCAGCAGAGCTTGGAGCCATCCCCTCAGCGGCGACGGAGCCTCGAGCCCACTCCGCATTGCCCAATGTGGAAAATAGTAATGGTTCCCAGGTCTCGGGTGTCTTGAACGAATCAGACCAGTCTCTCGCGTTTTGGACAGATCAGCATCTGGACGGCCGCGTCAGGCCAGAGGACAGTCGAACCTTCCCCCGGCGACGAAAAGTTGGTCGAGAGCTCGGGAAACCGAGGCGTGTACCAATTTTGACGGCAGAGGTCTGGCGTTTCCATCGGACGGTCGTGTGCGGTGTCGCATGCAAGCGATGAACGCGGTGACGGCGAGTTTGAAGGTGATGCCGCAGATGCCCAGGATCAATGGGTCGAGTCGACGTCGGTGAGAGGGATGAGGAAGATCACGATGTTGCATAGGACGAGCACCGAGGATGATAGCGATGGCGAGGATAGCATGGACGATCGCGCCGCCGTGGTGACGAAATGGAGCGATGGGGATGCGCGTAGCTGCCGCGGGGGCTACGGGTTGCGGGGATCGACCAGGCGCGCTCGGTTTTAGAGGATTGGGCGATGAGCTCTCTTCCCTGAGGAGGGATGCTGTGGGGGGAGCATGAGGGACGGGCACGATCTCGATGCTTCGGGCCTGGTCTCGTGAGACAAATCCCACGTGAATTCGTATGACGAAATTAGGGGGCCACATTCGAACCCTACCCCTACCCCCCACGATTTCTGAGGGGGAGGGTGGGGTTCACTTCGCTTGGGAGCTTCCGAGCGCAGTGAACCCCGCCCTGATCCTCAGAAATCGTGGGGGGTGGGGGGCAGGGTTCGCATGTGGCCCCCTGGAAATTTCCAGTGGCCAGGCCGCAGCACAGTCCTTGCTCCGTCGAGGTCGGGCGGGTGGGCCCACGACGCCCCCGCGAGGGACCACCCTCGCCCGCCGGGCGCTGGGCTCTTCGGAGCGAGCTCGGACGTTCTGTCGGCTGGGGGGCCCGGCTTTGGCTGGCAGTCCCAAGGAGCGCACGAACGACTGGAGGTAAAAGTCGGGCGTGCCCCTCTACAGGAGGAATATTGAAGAATAGTCGAAACATAGTCTTGGGACGATGTTTGGTGTATTTGTGGTCCGCATTGAACTTGTTCTGCGTATTTTTTATTGTTCGTCCAAGATCCCCCTGTAGGGGGACACCGCCGACTCAATCCTAATGATGACGCTAACGACTGGAGGCTCCTGGCGACGGTTCTCCTCCTGGGCGTTCCGCCTACGCCGCCGGATCCTGTGGAGACCGCCCCCACCAGCACCACGATTTTTTTTTGTCATGATGGCTACGTCGGCTGCTGCGGCAACCGCAGCTGCGTCAACCACGACCAGTGTCGCTACCACCTCCGCTGCAACTATAGCTACGACTGGCAGTGCCACGACGCTGCCGCTACCGAACAAACACACACACACACAGCTTCTTCAGCTGCTTTCTCCTCGGCGCAGGGGCGCCGAGCTTGCCCCCCGGCGCCGTTCTTAACAGATGCCTTTCTCACAGGCGTGCCGCTGAGGGTGCAACTGATCAAGTGAAGCGCGGTACCGCTGCGGTGCCAACAGCACGCGGCATGACACGCTCCTCGAAGTGGGACCACTCCAGAGCTGGGTGTTTCACCGACAAGGGAGCTGGTGCTTCCACTATCGCTACACTTCCTCCATCTGCCTCCTGCCACCTTCTAGGCCTCGCAGTCGCCGCATCGCTGATGCATCGCCGATGCATCGGCGATGTGGCTCGATGTGGGGCCCGATTTTATCAACGCCGACGACGCCGATGTATCGCCGACGTCGCCGATGCACCGTCGATGCATCGGCGATGCGGTGCAACCCTCCGACCCTGTCTGTCTGGGCCCCACCCAGGAGGCCTCTGCACTTGACACCACCACTGCAAAGGCTCTGGCTGGGCCAAGTCCAGGCTCTGCCTCCAATCCTGCGGCTGGGGGAGTTGGCAGAGTGCCAAGCCAGGCGCGTGGCCGCGGTGGCCTGCGCCGGTGCTGGCTCAGGCCAGCGGGGAGCAGGCAGGGCGAGTGCAAGCCGGCGCCTCCGAGGCGCCCAGGGCGGGGCTCGTGTCCGAGAGGCCTCCCTCCACCCTCTTCGGGTCCAGCTTGAGCGTGCTCGTGCCAGGGCGTGGTGCGAAGCATCGTGCGAGGCCTGCGAGGCCACCGCACGGCGGCGTCGGTGGTGCCCACGTGCAGAGCGCTGCTGCAGGCCAGGGCCAGGATCGGCCCGCGTGCCCCGCCCGCGAGCGCGACCCTGCTGGGCCTCGGGGGGCGTTTGGTATGGGTGTATCTCGGCTCTCGGCGCAACGGCCCCAAAGACAGCCACTTCAACATCCCCCGCCCCCTGGGATCCCAGGGCATCGGGTCCCCAGGCGGCGGTAATGGACAGATCCCCCCCTCCGTGGGCCAGTATCAAGAAGGCCCACAGACTGGCCTGGACAAGGCGGAGACAGAGTGGGCGTGGAGAGTGGCGACTCGCATGAGTCAGGGCCGTTCGCTCCTCCAGTCGGCGACAGGCTGGAAGCATCGGGGCTCAAGAGAAGGGTCAATTCAAGCAGGGGTCTCTCAGAGCGCTGGATCTTGCAGGATCCTGCAGAGCCAGGGGTGCATCGATCCGGGCTTGCGTGCAGGACCTTTGCAGGATCCTGCAGGATCTTGCAGGATCCTGCAAAGCCTGACAGGCACGTGTTTGCATTGACCCGGGTCAATTGATTCCCGAATATGATGAAGACAGTGATGTTGTTGATGATGATGATGATGATGATGATGATGGTGGTGATGATGGTGGTGATGATGGTGTTGATGATGATGATGCTGATGATGATGATCACGTCGACGGTACTGGTGATGAGGGTTCCGATGATGCTGGTGGCGGCGACGACGGTGATGAGACTGACAATGTCGACGCTGGTGGTGATGATGGTGATGCTGCTGATGATGGTGATGATGATGATGGCGATGATGATGATGGTGATACTGATGATGATGACGATATAGATGATGATGATGATGCTGCTGCTGCTGATGATGATGATGATGAAGACGATTGTGGACGATGAGAATGATGGCGATGATGAAGGTGCTGGTGATGATAATCATAATGTTGTCGGCAATGCTGGATTGTGAGAACTACGGGGGCCAGTAGATGTGGAGAGGGTGGAGCGGGAGAAGCAGGAGGAGGGACAGGGGGGAACATAATGACGAGCACGCGGACGTTCCTATTTCTATTTTTGCGTTCCTTGCAACATGATCAATTGTCAATTGTGGCCGTTGGCAAGGTACGCGCAGTTCTTGGGAGTGGGTGCAGCGTGTGACAACTACAGGAGAGCATCAGCAGAAGCCATGCTGGATTCTTCATGCGTGCGAAGACCCCGCTCCCTGTGTCCCCTCTTTGCCCCCCCGTCGTTCCCACAAAACTGATGCGTTGTTTTTTTCGTCCGGGGTCCCTGAAGGTCTCGACCGGTTCCCTAGGACCGTCTTTTCACCATGAGTCGTTGTCGGACGGTCTCGGGGCCCCTCGAGGGCCCTCATGCCGAAAACACGAACAACATCCGCATTGAATTTTTCATGACGTTCGAGGTCTGGGCTCTTTTCGCGCCGCGCCCGGTGCCTGGGTGGCCAAGTCGGTTTTCAGCCAACCGCAGAGGGGGGCAGGGGTAGGGGGGAGGGCTCCTTGAAAGCACCCCTGCTTCTTAGCAGGCGCGGGCGCCAGATCTGTAGGTGAAGGGCTGGCGCCTTCTCAGAAGCAGCTCCCTTTCAGAAGCCGCCCCCCTCCCCCATGCCTCCTTCCCAGACCCCCGACGTCATGATGTCTCCATTGCGTCGGCCCCTGGAAGCCTCGACCCCTTCCCCCTGGACCGGCTTTTCGTCCCGAGTCCTCTTTTGGCGGGCCCGAGGGCCGGCGAGGGCCCCCCAGAGGCCGACTGGGCCGTGCCCGCCGCCATGGCTCGCCACGGCGCGCAGGCTTTTAGGGGCGGCCCGCACCGCGCCGGGCCAGGGAGGCGCCCGCCCCCCGGAGGCCCCCTGCTGCAGGCCAGGAGGGAGCTCGGGGGCCGTGCGGGAGCTCGGGCCCGCGGAGCTCGAGCCGCGGGCCTCGATCCTCCGTGCCTTCTCCCTCCTCTCCCTCCTCCACCTCCTCCACCTCCTCCCCCTCCTCTTCCTCCTCTTCCTCCTCCACCTCCTCCTCTTCCTCCTCCTCCTCCTCCTCCTCCTCCACCTCCTCCACGTCCTCCTCCTCCTCCTCTTCTTCCTCCTCCTTCTCCTCCTCCTCCTCTTCCACCTTCACCTCCCCCGCCGCACTGCATCGTTCGACCCCCTCGCGCCGTGATCAAACATCGCGGTTGGGAGGTTTTGTTGCGGTTTTCGGCCTCCAGGGGCTCCTGGGAGGTCGAGCGGAGTCGTGGGTCAGGCGGATCAAGCCGAGACCAGTAGTGCCCCTACGGGCCGATGTGCCAGGCCATTTCCCCAGACGCACCAAGCAACCACAATCGCCGTCAATTCGGCGCCTCGAAGCTCGAGCCACGAGCCTCGATCCTCCATCCCCTGTGTCTCAAACAGTGGCGAGGCGTCCTGGCTCCCCTATAGGCCCACCAGATAATGTTCTAAGAACGTTTTGTGGTCTGCACGAAGTCTTCTTAGAGCATGTCTGGCTCCGGCTGTCTTTTTTTCCGCACGCCGACTGCATGTTCAAAAACAAATGTTCTTACAATTCGAACATGTTTGGTTCCTAAGAACGCTTCGTGGTAGGCCTACAGGAATGCCGGGACGGTCAGTCCCTGCTCCAGTGTCTCTCGACCCCCTCGCGCCGAGAAAACACAGCGACGGGAGGTTTTCCCCTACTTTCGGCCTCCAGGGGCCCTCCCCGGGCCTCGGGACCGTCAACAAACGACCCGGGATGAAGGCCTGGCCCGGGGCCCAAGCTTCTGGGGGTCACGTCGTGAAAAAAGAAAAGATCACGACCTCGGGGGCCTGCGTCGCCTCGGCCCTCGGCGCTGGGGTGC